CCCAATCAACTCTAGATAAGGTGATGGCAGCTTTACCACCCTTTATAGCTCTAAAAATAATTATGTCAACTCTTTGGTTAATAGATTACATGGAGACCCAGAGACTTGAACTAAAAACCAACAGCACATGCCTTGGCAAAGGATTACAAATATCAAGGCAGATGACATCCTTTTTATAAGAAAGGTGAATCAGGATGAGAGGGAACATGTTCTTAACTCTTAAATATCAGTCCTCTAATATTGAGATTAGAATGGCTAGTGCACTTTTATCTCTGCCAAACACTTTTTTTCCCTTTCACATTTAAAAAGCATAAAGTTTTTATATTTAGGGAAAGAATAAAATTTTTTGGTCCACAAAATGCAAATTTGTGTACCAAAAAGCAATTACTCACTCAATTCAATTTTAATAAGTGCTTCCTATGTTCCAGGCACTGCTCTCAGATCAGGAATAAATATAAAAAACAAGGCTCTTGGGGCACCTGGGTGGCTTAGTCGGTTAAGTGCATCTGCCCTCAGTTCAGGTCATGATCTCAGGGTCCTGGGATTGAGCCTTGCATCAGGCTCCCTGCTCAGTGGGGAGTCTGCTTGTCCCTCTCCCTCTGCCTCTCACTACCGCCACCGCCCCCTCCCGCTTGTGCTCTCTCTCTCCGTCTCACATAAATAAAATCTTGAAAAAAACAAACAAAAACAAAAAATCCCACCAAGGCTATTGTCCCTAATAGAGTTTTAAAGGGGGGCGCCCGGGTGGCTCAGTCAGTTAAGCACCTGACTTCGGCTTGGGTCATGATCTCCAGGTCCTGGAATCGAGCCCTGCATCAGGCTCCCTGCTGAGCAGGAAGCCTGCTTCTTTCTCTCCCTGCCCCCCACCCCCGTCTGTCCCTCCCCACCGCTTATTCTCTCTCTCTCAAATAAATAAATAAAATCTTAAAAAAAAATAGTTTTAAAGGAAGACAGATGATAAACAAATAACAAATGAATAAAACAAGAAAAATGTTAGGGTATTAGTTTTCTATTGCCAGTATAACAAATTTCCACAAACCTAGTGACTTAACACAAACTTACTGTCTTGTAGTTGTGGAAGTCAGAAATCTGAAATGGATTTCATTGAGCTGAAATCAAGGTATCAGCTGAATTGTGTTTCCTTTGGGGTATCTAGGGGAGAATCCAGCTTCTACATATCTCCTGCATTCTTTGGCTTGTGACCCCTTCTCCATTTTCAAAATGTAATGCTTCTGCTCCCAGCATAGTATCTCCTTTCTCTGACCCTAAACCTCCTGCTTCTTTCTTGTAGGATCCTTATGAATGTATTGCGCCCACCTGTTTAGTCCAGGCTAATCTCCCCATCTCAAGATTCTTAACTTAATCACATGTAAAGTCTCTTTTGCCTTGTAAGGTAGTAACATATTCATAGGTTTGGGAATGAGGATGTTGACACCTTTGAAAGGCCATTTTTCAGCCTACCACGGGTAGTGATAAATGAGATGCAAAGAACTACATGGTACTATAAATAGCGGCTGACTTGCTCCTTTAGGTGTTGGGGAAAGTCTGAACAGGGATATTTTACAGTAAGATCCTCATGATAAGGAGGAACCAACCCTAGGATGATCAGGTGGTAGAGCACTCCAGGTAAAAGAGCTAGAAACTGGTTTGGCTGTTAAGGAAAATAAAGAAGGTCAGTGTGCTGGGCCTTAGTTACCTACTAGGAAAATGGTATGAATAGAGATGGGAGAGGAAGTTTAGAACCAGATTATGTAGGATTCAGTAAAGTAGGGTAAGCAAACAGGTAAGTGTCTTTGCATCTGGTACTTTAGCCACATTTCAAGGGAGAAATGGTAGTTACTGAAAGTAAACATATTATTAGGGTTAAAAGGATATGTTAGGTAAGTCACAGTGTAGTGACTGAAAACTGTTGTTTGGTGGTGGTAGAGTTGCAAAATCTAGACCAAATCATCTGCAAAGATTTATTGAAGGGTCAGTTGAGAAAGAGGAGATTGGCATTAGAAATTGTCACACTGGAAATCTAGGTCCTCATTGGGAAGAAGCTTTAAAGGAAAGTTTCACTTCAAGGCCTAATTGGGAAGTATGATTATCTCCACTGAAGAAAAGAACGCCCAAATAGATCCTTTAAAGGTAAAAATGTTTAATTGGTGAAAATTGCATTAAAATAGGGACACTTCACCATCACTGAAGCCCAGGTTCATTTTTTTTTTTTTTCAGTCTCAAATCTTTCTAAAATGTCAGCCTGCTCTCTTTCTTAAGAAAATGAGAATTTAGGAACTTATCATTAGCTACTAACTAGTATCCAGAGGGCTTCTGGGTGGGAGATGGAATACAGTTAGGATTGAGAAGGTAATCATTATTTATTCATTTAATAAACATTTAGTGGGTATCTGTTTGAAAGAGAATTGGGGAGATAAGTAGAAGCTACTTCCAAATACCAAGAGATTGGGAAGAAAATATGTATTCTTAACTACTTGTTGCTCTGTTATCCTATAAAAATTTATCTTCTTTGAAATTCATGTGATCTAGCCATACTACCCTCTACTCTTCCACATTGTCATCTATTGATAACATTTACAGATTTCATGAAACCTTTCACGATAAAGCTTGTAATCTTCGTTTTTAACTCATATCCTGCCATATTTCCTGCCTGTCATCATTGTCTATGTGGATGACAACATCCTTGATCTTGATGCTGGAGATCTTTACTTTCTTCTACTTTGGCCACTATTAACAATGGCTATATCATGAAAATTGTTGCTATCTGGAACTATTCCATTATGAAATCTTTTTTTAAAGTTCAAGTATAATTAATGTACAGTGTTATATTAGTTTCAGAGGTACAATATAATGATTCAATAATTCTATACATTTCTCAGTGCTCATCAAGATAAGTGTACTCTCAGTATCCTTTATCTATTTCACTCCTCACACCCACCTCCCCTCTGCAACCACCCGTTTGTTTTCTGTATTTATGACTATGTTTTTTTGTTTGTCTCTCTATTTTACTCCTTTGTTCATTTGTTTTCTTGATTAAATTCCACATATAAGTGAAATGCATTATAAAATCTTAAAGTCCAATATATCACTTGGATCACACTTTTGTTTTTCTGGTCATTTCATTTACTTATTCTCTCCACATGCATTCCCCAACTTTTTAAAGACCTCCTTTTTCCCTCTAATTTTCCCAATTAAACTAGGCCTTCCTTATATACCTTCTCTTCTATTTCTCTATACCATATAATCTAGATTGAACTTCTACCAGTCTCTGGTCAATTGATTCACTTTATTTATTCCTTAGTCTTCCTGCAATATAATACCTTGCAAAACTTTAGTCTTGGATAAATCTGTCTATGAAGTTGGTATCTCTATCAGTCAAAGATTGCAGTTGAATGCACGCCACAGAAACTCAAGTACAATGGCTTAATTGAATAAGACACTTATTGTTTTAAAAAGAGTAATAAATCCAGAGGTTGACAGTCCAGGGCTGATACAGTAGTTCTGCTGTGCCATTAGTATTCCAAGCTCCTTCTCTCTGCTCCACTATCCCTATCATTTGGCTTTAATCCCCATAGTCATCTCATGATTTCTTTAAGGCCAAATGCAGTTTGTCATCTTCAGCCTCACTTCCAAAGAACAGGCAAGGCAAAAGAAAGGAGGTACCAGAGAAAAGTGGTTGTACCTATGTATGTATCCAACAATATGTATCCAGCACCAGCACACTGCTGCTCTGAATGAAATCACATTTTGCTAGTAAGGAAGAGGAGAATAAATATTGAGAAGGTCACTATCATTATCTGCCATACAATTATTGCAAATTATGTTTTTTAATGTTAACTACACAAGTAATCTATTTTCATTTAGCTATATACCTCTTTGCATTAGTCTTCTGGGGTTGCTGTAACAAAATACTAGGCTGGATGGCTTAAAAAACAGAAATTTGTTTTCTCACAGTCTGAAAGCTGGAAATCCAAGATCAAGGTGTTGGCAGATTTGGTTTTTCCTGAGACCTCTCTCCTTGGCTTGCTGATGGCCACCTTCTCACTGTGTCCTTGCATGCTCTTTCTCTGGGCACACATGTCCCTGGTTGTTTCTCCATCACCTTGTAAGGACACTTAATGGATTAGGGCCCCACCCATATGACCTCATTTATCCTTATTTACCTCTTCAAAGGCCCCATCTCTAAAAACAGTCAGACTGGGGGTTAGAGCTTCAACATATGAATTTTAGTGGGCTCATTGCATGTAACATAGTCCATAATCCTCTCCTATTACCTACAAAAGTTATGTGAAAACTTCACCTCTCTTCACCAATCAACTACACACCATTTCTTCCTTCACTCTAAAAAAATGTACCCTGCCTTCACTGTAACTCACAAAGAAAATAGGGACTATGAGATAAGAACCTTTTTATCTTTCTCCCTTTTCCTCTTCACCTGAATTTACCCTCAACTTTCACACATCCATTTTTTCCTCCCATTTAAAGTTGGGTAAGTAACAGCGGTAGCAGCTGTAAATTTCAGAATTAAAACATGTGTAGAACGAACAGCATCTTCTGAAGTAGTAAAACTAGAATGACATCAAATAACCACCATTAATTGTTTTTCCAAGGCTTGGAGAATTTTTTTCAGCAGATAGTAGGACCTTTAGCTTTTTCCTGATGAAGACAATATTTTGTCACTATTTTCAAGATAATGACAATATTTCATGTTTTCTCCTTCAGAAAAAAAAATATGAAACTTTCTTTTTAACTTTATCAGATATATGTTGTCCATCAATATTTGAATGACATCACAATGACATCTAGTGGCTGTAGGAATTTCTTTCATCTCTGAGTACATCTTTAAGTGTATGAAGATCTTTCTAAACTGGAAATTCTTAGCTGGAAATAAAAGAAAATGAGTCATTGTAATGTAGTCATTATCTTTCCAATCTGTTTTGTTTTTGAAACTGACTCTTTCCCCACCTCTTCTACCTTTATTCCATTCTCTACAGAAACAGAAAGGATATGGAAAAATTTGATACCTGATCAAAAGTGCCATCTTGATGTCCATTGTGGTACTTCACGGAATCCTTCTTGAGTGTGCAGAAATGAGCAGCTAGATACACAAGTGTTGATAAATATCGTACAGAATAACTTTCAGGTAAGACACTGAGATCCACATCCATTCTAGATAATTTTAATAAGAGAACCATATCAAAGTCATCTTTGCTTTACAAAGTCTTTGCTTTAGATAAAAAGTAAACAATAGGAAAATGTCTGCAATGATGGAGGATGGGTGGGTGGTGGGTGATGGTGATGTGTAACATGAAATACTATCTTTTAGGAATATAGCATTTTCCAAGTAATGAAACATGGTAGATACTGATAAAGCATTGCTATCAGTAAAAGACAAGTGTATTTTTTATGACCTTGAAGAAATATGTATTAATATGTATTTAAAAGTTGTTTATCTTAACTAATAAATTAGGTTCTATAAAAGATTACATTAAAGTTTTTGTTTAACTTTTGGAAGACACTACATAGTAAGGAAATTCCTTTGGACTCTATGTTTTTTTCCAAACTTTTTTTTTTTTTTAAATGATAGCCATCCTATAACAGATGTGTGGTGGTATCTCAATGCAGTTTTTTAAATTTATTTTTTATTAACATATAATGTATTATTTGTTTCAGGGGTACAGGTCTGTGATTCATCAGTCTTACATAATTCACAGCGCTCACCATAGTACCTAACCTCCCCAATGTCCATCATCCAGCCACTGCATCCCTTCCACCCCCCCTTCACTCCAGCTTTTTATAGCATGGTGAATAATATATAGAACCTAGATTCTTAACCTACCAACATCTATTCAGTCTCAAAAACTTTCACCAAAAGTCTATGAAAAATATTCTCTAAACTTTGATGTCCTTTCAAAATAAATACTCTATTTTGTGAGATTCATCTTGAGGACCCCACAGAGATAAACTGAGTTTCATTTAATTAATAATTTTTGAAGAGCGAGGGGCTGAGTCAATCATGACATATTTGAATATGTGGCTGTAAAAGGTCTATGTGATGTTTTGGACCACTTAGAATTTTTATTTAGCTAGTATAATGTATCAGATTACTTCTCACTTTTTCCTACTTGACCTAGGCATTTAGAACTTTATAGAACAAGTAATTGGATCCTTTCCCACAGTTCTAAATCATGTTTGAAGGATTGACTAGGACACATGAGTGTATGTACCTATGAGAACATAAAATAATTTGTGGGAGGGGAACTAAGACCATACAGGTAAACTCAACTCTTAGTTCCTCATTTTGTGGTAATTCTTCAGCTTGAGCTGGAAGATATAGACCACTGCCATCTGGAGACATGGCTGATCCAGATCTGTAATACTGTTTGAGGTCTTGGCTTATGTACTGAATTTTGGAGGGAGTCATTTTCCTATTCTTTTGTTGGATGATCATTTGTTGAATCATTTGACTGGATGGTGGCTATACAACAATATTTAGGACTCTAAAGTTTATTTGAGCTCTATAACAAAAGCAAATACTTAGAGAAAGATCATGATCAGAGTTTGTAGGCCTCTTCTAAGCCAGGATCCTTGAACTCTAATTAAATCAGGAGAACACATCTCATTCCCAATCCCTAGTGCCAGTAGCACCTGATATAGGGGAATGGCCAAATTACTTAATTTCATATTTTCTTTATTTATTTCCTGGGTCTGTTTAGTAATATTAAAGATCCCAGAGAGATTTGTAGGGATATGACAATAGATGTTCACCCTTGAGTGGTCAGTATTATATCTAATGTGGTTGTATTTTGAACAACTGCGTTTTCAACTTCATGAACAACTTTGGCCAGGGTTTTATGACTTATAAATATTGTATAATTCTCCTGCAATTCTCATAGCATGTAGGATTCTCCTCATTCTTGGAGTCTTTCATAGAGAATAAAAATGAGAGGTTTGGGACAGAAGAGAGCAATCCTAAATTCCTCTTCAGGGATGACATTTGGATTCCAATCAAGGCACCATTTTTTTCCTTCTATAGTTAAATTTTTTAAGTTTCTCTTTCTCCCTTCTCTCTTTTCCTTTTTTTAAACTCTCTCTTTCTCTTTCCCGAGAAGACCCAACAGCCAAACTGAGCTTTATTCTGAAGTCAGACATCAGTTTACTGATACAACAAATCCTTATCTTACTGAAGAGCAGTAGCCGATAGGCTTTTGGCTGGATATTTTATGTCACTAGTTATTAAGGACCATGATCTCTTTTTAGCCAAAACATCCCTGCAAAGTTTTCAGAGTATTGTAATGTTTTATTACCACATAATAAAAGTGGTACTGCACCAGACAATCCCTTTTTTATTATAGAAATTATCAAGTAGATATAAAGCAAAAGAGCTTGATGTTGAGTCTAAGTAGTGACCATTATTTGTAAGGTCTGTAAAAGTGAGATAGCCACCACATATGCACCCAATCTTCCTTAGTTATTTCCCAGTCTTATTTCTGTAAGACTTTGGTTACCAAAGCTAGTTCTCAAAAAAAAAAAAAAAAAAAAAAGCCTCAAATTTTTTTGGTGACAAAGCCCCTCTATATCAAGGTATAATATGAAAGAGGGTTTTAGGTTTCTATTTCTTCTTCTCTTCTTCTTCTTATCCTTCTTCTTCTTCCCATTACTCTCCTTCTCCTTTTACTGTTGTGGTATTTTTCCTTTACAGTGTCACTTAGTACAAATTCCCAGGAAATTATCTGATGTATTATAAGGAATTGGTACTAAAGGAGTGTCATCCAGCTTCCTTTAATATCAGTTTATTATAATACATGAATAAAACTATATCTTTAATCACTCCTTAGTATAAGTTTATTACCTTGCTACAATCTGCTAATTATTTGGGTAAAATATGCCACCAAGGAGTGGCTAAGGATGCAAAAATCAACATTAAGGAAAGGGATTTTATAAATATCATAGTTACATGTTAATCTATTACAGATATCATAGTTAGTTCTGTTAACAACTCAGAACTTTAAACTAGCAAAGAGGGAAGAATAAACAACAAAACAAGAAAATGGTGGGAAAAAGCAAGCAAATTAGTTTGATGATCTGTGGTTGTGGTCACTTGAATCTTAACTGATGGGTCTTGGATGGAAGCTGTTCTTTCCTGCAGTTGTCTACTTGGTCCTAGGCCTTTGGTGGGTACTACAACCTCCTGAAAATTATTTGTTTTGGGGGGATTCCTAAAAATTCTAATCTCCCAATGGGAGAATATTTTATATGATTCCATATGTTGTCTTTTTTATCAGGGAGTCGTGAATCAAAATTCTATACACCAGAGTTTGCAAGAGGTAAAAAATATATGACAAGGTCCTTGCAAAGATAATTTTAAAACATTTTTCTTTTCCAAAAAATGAAGTCTCCAGGTTTTGGGTCATTTAGAGATTTCTTGAGAGAATGTCAAAGAAAGGCAGCTTAAAACTGTTGGAAGTAAGACTGAGTATATTAATGAGTTCTTTGTAGTACTTTGACATGTTGAACTGAAGTTAGATAGTGTAAAAAATTAGGGAAGAAACCCAAATTCATAAGGTGAGGTGTAATAAGTTTATATGGTCATAGTCTATAATTTCTGCCTTTCTGGCTACACTTGTGAACATCAAGATTTGAGAATTAGAGCTTGAATTGTTGGCCAAAGGGTCCCAAGAATATCAACTAGTTTGGCTAGTTTGATATCTTTAAAAATCAACTTTAATGAAATGTAATTTATTTGCAATTAATAGCATACACTTTAGATGTACAGTTTTATGAGTTTTTAAAAGGATACAATCATGTAACCTCTATCAAATCAAGATATAGAACATTTCCATTAACTAAAAAAAGTTCCCCTTTGCCCCTTTTTAGCCCATACTCGTCTTCTCCCCAGGCCCCAGGCAGGCACTGATCTAGTTTATCCCTATAGAGGAGACCGTGTTTCCTAGAATTTCATATAAATGGACTAATATAGTATGAAAGATTTTGTATCTGATTTCTTTCACTCAGAATCATGCTTCTGGGATTTATCTGTGGAATTCCAAATATCATATTCCTTTCCTTTTAATTGCTGAGTAGTCTTCCATTGTTTGGGTAAACCATAATTTGTTTATCTACTCACGTGTTGATGGACATTTGGGTTGTTTCCACACTTGACTTGTGGATAAAGCTTCTGTGAGTATTCATATACAAGTCACATAATTTACAACTAAATTTATTTCAATATATATTTTCTGACAATAGAGCTAATCATCAGTATTCTATACTATCATCTGTGCACATTTCCAGTGATTTGGCCTATTGGGATATCATAGGAGAAGAGGATTTTAGTAAGGGCTCCTATCTGACATAATCATCAACTGGGACATTATGCTCACCTCCCAAGAGTTTATGCCTCATTGCTCAGACTGTCTTGTTCCTTGATGTAATTAATAAGAACTGTGTCACATGGCCACCTATAGCTTCAATTGCATTTTAATTTTTTCACCCTCTATAATATAGGTAAGCAAAAATAAGAGGTTGGAATTGTATAGTAGTTGAATCAACCTAGTGTCTGTCACACAATCTTATTAACCATAGGCAAATGTCTTTGTTTTGCGAGTGTGAATTTGTTCTAAAATGGTTGATGTATTTGGGAACAATTTGAGCATAATGTGAATCTGACATTTGCTGATGCACAATTTTGTCTGCAAAAAACACTGTTTGAATGCAGGAAAGTGCATGGTACCAAACAAAACCACATAGGAATACACAAAATGCACACATGTGGATACTTCAAACATCTACCAACTACCTCAGTTTACTCTGTTAAGAGCCACATTCATTTACATCTAGTGTTATAACTTTAAGTCCAATTTAGGATAATTTTCATACCACTACCTCACAGTAACTCACAAGCTGCAACCTTTCAGATGCCCATATTTACAAGAAAACTTCAGGTCTTTTTTTCAACGTAAAGTACCATATTTATTGTAATGTTATGTATTTTTATTAGGATTCTATTTTTTTAATGACTCCATTTTTAGAGTAATTTTATTTATAATAAAATTGAAAAGACTGTAGTACAGAGATATCCTATATATTCCCTGCCTCTGTACTTGCAGAGTCTTCCCCTATTATCAATATTACTTACCAAAA